CCCGCGACCTGAAGAACGGAGGCCGGTTCGTGGCACTGAAGCGCGTGCGGGTGCAGACCGGCGAGGAGGGCATGCCGCTCTCCACTATCCGCGAGGTGGCGGTGCTGAGGCACCTGGAGACCTTCGAGCACCCCAACGTGGTCAGGTGAGTGGGAGCCGTGCCCGCGCCCGCCTGGGAGGCCCGTCCGCAGTCCTCTTGCGCTGGAAAAGTGCCAGACGGTGCGGAGGCCCGTCGCCACGCCTTGGCCCATCGGAGCTGCCGCCCCAAGCGGTGACCTTGCTAGACGGCCTGCGGAAAGACTAGGGTGTAGGAGATCCACACAGGCTTCCCCACCGCTCCGCAACCCCGAAGTGTTTTCCCCTGCCCTCCCCGAAGGAGCTCGGGGCAACTGGGTGCCTTTTAGGGACGGAACCAGCGGGTCTGAGATGGGCCTCGCCAGCCTCCGCGTATTTTTCCCTGTCATGGGGGAATTTTGAGACCCAGAGATGTGGCAGGTTGCGGTGTGATAATTAGTAAGAAGGGAACTGGGCGGAGCCCAGTGTAAGGCTTAAGAAAATGCAGAAACATATGTTTGCCAATCATACTCTTGGTTTCTTTTTTATTAAAAGTTTTATAATAAGAATGACTTGAAGGTTAAGGAGTTTCAGTGCTGAAGCCCAGGGTCAGTGTCAAAGTATCTTCCAAAACTAGCACCTGTTTGAATTACTTCATCTCACTAGACTGATGTATTTCTTAGACTATTTCACCTAAGGTTTAGACGCAAATCCAGGAGGTGGTGTCTTTAGATTTTGTATGTTCTACCCTGGATTTCCCTGGATGTGTTGTGCACGGGGGATGGGGAAGAAGTCCAGTGTCTCCTGTGTGCAGTAACCAGCGTTAAAGAGTGTGTGGCTTAGGGTGACTGTGTTCTCTTAGTGAACTTGGAATTTCCTCGTGTGGTTGTGTTGTCTCTTTTAACACAGAGGTATATAGCTTGAAGTTGAAAGGGAATGCACGGAAACTCCTACAAGCGGGTTGTAATTTAACCTTTCTCAACTCTAAACTGTGTTGGAGAGAGGAGATACTGGGGTCTTGTTCCTGTCTTCTCATTCATCTAGAGGTTCTGATCAAGCATTTGTCTGCTGTGGGTGCTGTAGATGAAATGATGTAAATAAGCACAGCTAAATATTTTTGTAAAAAGTCAAACATTTAACGTTAGTCATCAAAATGGAGAGACCCAAGAGTGACCTTTGAAATACCAACAACTCTACAGACTTAGGGAGACCAACCAACTACTGAATCTTCCTGGGACGTTTTAACTTGCCTCCTCTTACCCTAGGCTGGGTGATTTGTGTGAGGCTTTGTTCCCAGCACAATTAAACTTAGTTGACAAGGCAGCAAAGAATGGTAAATGTGTAAGTAAAGTAAAAAAAAAAAAAAAAAAAAAAAAAAAAAAAAAAAGGGCTGTAAATAGAATTCCCCGTTATACCTCTACTCTAGCTAGTTATAGGTGGGGAGCAAAAGATAATGAGATGAGAGAATGGAAGATAGGATTTAATATAAAAGCAGTAGATTACCTTTTCTGTATGCATTTGTTGAAAAATAATAAGAACTATTTGAGGAGGGTGTCTTTGTGATATTGGAAGGAAAAGAAAGGAAGGGTATATTTAGTTATCTTCCCATAGGAATCACTAAAACTCTTCCCAAAGGATCCACCGCTAGAATTTTAAGACCAAAGTTGCTTTTTTTTTAAGCTGTGAAGTATGTAATTGTCATATATATGCAAATAAAATAATGTTCTTCCAATGAGGGGCTCTTGCAGAGTCACTCCTGTGTAATGCCATCAGTTAGAAAACCAAGTTCATTTTTCTAACAGAGGAAGGAGGTTTTTGACGTTGTGTGGTAGATTTTTACTGATCTATCCATTCCCTCGGTTCTCTGATCCCTCTTGATTCTCTATTCCATTCTCTGATCTATCCATTCTCTTGATTTATCAGGTCTTTAGAGATTAGTGTGACTGATCTATGACTTGGATCTGGATCTGTGAATATCAGGCATCTATACTAATGAACTGAAGACGAAGGTGTAGGTTCCCGAAATTGTTTCTACTTGCTTAACTGCAATGACACTTACGTCTTGCTTTTGTAAGGATAAAGTGAGATAGTGTATGTGCGATAGTACACTCTGTAAATTTAACAGTACTTTAAGTATCTGAATGCTGTATTTGTATTTCAGCAGATTAGTGGGACTTTTGCCCTGTAAGAGGTTCCCAAGAAGCCATCAGTTTATAGAACTAATCATATTCAAGCCCAGATACCACAGGCTTTGGAATGAAGAAGATACTTACTTGAGTATAATTAGCTTGAAATTTGTCAGGAAGTTTGTCATATGAAGTTTGTCATATGTCGTAAAATTGAATGACACTGGAGGAAATTATCGATGAGGTCGTCCTCCTGAGCTACAGCTCTCCATTCCCTTTTTGCTTTCTTCCTGTTTCTTTTTTGCCTCTGCCTCTGAACATCCAGTGCCCACCATGACTTTCTTGACCAGATCAGGCATTCCGGATTTTAAAGATGGCTCTTTTTTTTTCAGGGTGGGTCAGGAAGTCAAGTAGAGATGACATTTCTTTTCCTTCCAAGGGAGAATGTCAAAATTGGGACCCAAACCTGTAATTTGTTGTTGTTCCTACGGTAAGTTCAAGTCTTATTCTTGGTTCTTCAAAAGTCGCTTAAAAGAGCAGATACCTTTTTTAATGCCTTCAAGTTGTAAATAATAGATCATAATTATGATCTATTATCATAGACAGCTGAACCTCTAAACTTGAAGAACAATAAACCTATTAGTTTTTTTCAAAAGTTTTAGATTTAATTGTGATGGATTTGCCAGAAAAAACTGACTTGTTGCTGGCTTGGGTACTGCATTTACACACAGGGGATAATGACTTGAAATTCTTAGTTACCTGCTCTTGATGTATCCCAGGCCCATGCTCTGTCATGGCCTAAACAGTGTTTGGGATGTAAATTGACTTTTACTTTACAGTTGGTAATCCCAAACTCTGGAACCTTTGCCAGAATCATTTCAATATGAACTTATATTGGAGCTTCTGAACTCTACAAAGGAGTTGTTTTCCATCCTCGACTAAAACACTTATATAGAGATAAAATAATAAATGTTTTATCAGCAGGGTTTTTTTTAACCAAATATTTATTGAGGATTAATCCCATGCCAGATTCTTCTAGAAACTGGGATGTCGGTGTAAGTCAGAAGTCTTTACACTTGTACAACCAGCCTTGTAATGGGATGCCACCTCTTTTTTCTCTTGAAAAATTCCAGTTGCCTTATTTTTCTATATGTAACCTAACTAGTTTTACAAAGCAATTAATTTTTGTGATAGTTTAGTTACCAGAAGTTTGCTGGTCCATAACTAGCAAGATAACCAAAACTCTAGTCAGAAAACGATACTTCTCAAAGATTAAATTTCACATTAGACCTTGACACATTGCTAACATGTGAATATTTGATATCTTTTTATTCAACAAGTATTTGGGAAAACCACTCTCCTTGAAAACCATGGGGCTGTATGTTGGGAAGATACCTGGATAAATCATACCTGGCTGTTCCCATCAAGTGGGTCCCCTGTGTTTGAAGAAATAAGCTAATAATTATAAAACCAATACATGATAGTATCATGTGCCATATAAGTGAGATGTAGGTACGGGCCACCTGTGTTATCTCCAGGTATTTAATTTATTAGTGTAGCAATAATTCAAATTCAAATACTGGTTCTGGAAACTGTAGGTTATCGCATATATTATAAGTGGATAAATATGTGATATCTAAATGTCTAAATATGGTAAATTGCTATTATTAGAATAGTCATGACTTTTAAAAACAAAAACCCCAAAGAAAAAGCTGTGCAGATCAACGATTATTCAAGGAAACTTTAATTTTTTCCTTAAAAATCTCAGTAATATATATAT